TATATAATCAAGTCGACAATATTGTATTGCTTGAAATTAAGTCTCCCCAACTAGGCAAGCCGAAGGCGACAGTGGCAAGGAACCCAAACTCCATTGGTGACAAAAATGGAGAAAAAACCCTGGGAGAAACCAGGCTCAGTCGAGAGCCAGTTTTCCTCTGGCAAGATTAAACCAGCATGGCGTGGTTTAATTCCAGGCTGCATCACAAATCATATTGAGCAGAAGCCTTGTCTGGTTCTTGTGGTCTTGTGCCGATGGCCGTCAAATCCCATTTGACTTGTCCCATGTTTCAAGTCTTTTAACTCCATACAAAACAAACTTTGTGTAATTTGTGTGAATGGACTGAAATACTACTGGACTAAAAGATTCCTTTAAGATGATTATGCTACCTTGGAATAGTAAAAGTGTTTTTTTTTTAAATCCTTTTAAGATATAATCAATTACAACTTTAGTGGAACATCTTGTATTTGTTTTTTAAAAAATCTCTCTTTTATCCGTTTTGCTTAGGTTTACCACCATGCACCTCAAGCCATACCCCAAACCACAAGATAAAGAGATACATCGGGAATCTGTGGACGATGGAACAAGAGGCCTCCATGCCGACCAGCAGGGAGTGCTCAGGAAAGAGTGGGGCGTTCGCCAGGCGTGTGGGCTCATGGGCTCACCTGGCAACGGCACAGCCAACCGGTGTCCCCTCAGTGTCATCTCCACCAACACCCTCCGATGTGGCAGTGGGTGCAATGCACCAACTAGAGTTAGTGGGGCCCGCAAGAGCAGAGCATCCCCTCTCAAAACATTTACCAGTTCTTTAGTTCTGCTCTCACCTTCAACTGGTTTGGAGAATGAAAGCTCACTTAGGATCTACCAAGGAGAAGATGCAGAGGGATCTTTGGATATATGGGCTGTCATTAAACCTGGGAACACAAAAGAGAAAATCGCCATTTTTGCATCTCAGAAGTGTGGCAGTACTTGCAGTAGTGTTGTTGACAACACCTCAGAAACAGAAGCCATTGCCCCAGAGCTGCGGACTGTCTCTGTTAAAAACAAAGGCTGCTGGGATGGTGACTGGTCTGTAGCTAAACGCAGGAGAAGGTCTGGAAACCCAGACAAGTCAAAAAGTATGGAACCTTCTTCCCCAAAAACTGAAATACCGAAAGTATCTCAACAGGAGACCCTCATTGAGAACATCGATCCTTTCAAAGGAGTTGCAGATGATGCAGTCAGGACAGAGGGAGAAGAGGATGAAAATACACTTTCTGTGGTGGAGATGGTGGCATACTTGGAGCAAAGAGCCAGCGACCAACAGGTGAGCTCCAAAGTCCCATCCTTACGCAGCACCAGCACCATCACTTTATCCAAAGTTGGAACTGTCTCTCTGCCTGCAGAGCAGCAGTCCAAGGTTGCAGAAAAGCTGGAGGTCCAGGAAGAGGAAGGAGAGTCTGTTCGAGTTCTGGATATGGTGGCCAAGTTGGAGTCGCAGTGCCTGGGTAGACAAAGCCTCCGGGAAGGTGGAGGAGACCTCTCTCGAAACAATAGCTTACGGAGGAAGGTGGGGCGTGTGCTTCTGGCAGGGTCAGAACCCTACCCGCTGCAATCTCAACCAGTGTTGCCTACTGTCCCTCAGGACTCTAGAGCTGAGAGTGTCCCACCGCAACTGGACAGTGATTTAAACAAACGGAGTTCCCCACCTAAGACCCTTGAGTCGATAGAGACCTCGCAGTGTGGGCTTGACACCTGCGCCCTCAAGGACGTAGAAAGTTTTTGTATCTCAAGAGAGGAAACTAGCACAGCTGTTCAGACTCGGCAGTCCTCACCAAAGAATGCCAGCTCAGAGTGCAGTGAGGAACCGATACCAGGCATGTTGTTTTTTGCCAAATCTTCTCATCAGTCTCTGAAGGAGCATCACCTGCTCTCCCCATCAAAGAGCAGATCACCGAACAAAGAGCTTTCTCGCATCCAGGACCTTGAGCCTTCTGTCGACACTTCAGTGTCTTTCAGAGAGGAGATCAAGGATGGGCTTGTGGCTGACCAAAATCATCAAACTTTTGAGGAGGCCGAGAGAGGAGAGACTTGCATAGTTAGTCAGGAGCCTGTGCCTTTTCCATTACGCCGCCTAGTGTCTCATGAGTTTCTTGAAACTCGCTTCAAGATCCAGCTGCTTTTGGAGCCTCAGCAGTACATGGCTTTCCTGCCGCACCACATCATTGTAAAGATCTTTTGCTTGCTGCCTACTGAGATTCTGGCTGCCCTCAAGTGCACATGCCGTTACTTTAAATTTATCATTGAGAGTTACGACGTACGGCCGGCGGACTCTCGTTGGGTGAGTGATCCACGCTACAAAGACGATCCCTGCAAGCAGTGTAAGAAGCGGTATGACCGTGGTGACGTTTCGCTCTGCCGTTGGCATCATAAGCCGTACTGCCAGGCGCTACCATATGGCCCGGGCTACTGGATGTGCTGCCGCAAGTCTCACAAAGACACACCTGGTTGCAATGTGGGACTTCATGACAACCGCTGGGTCCCTGCCTTTCATAGCATCAACATGCCAATTTACAAGAAAAGCAGGGACACTGACGAGGATCTGTAGTGTGCCAGAAAGACAACTGCAGTGTGCGTTTTATTTCTGAGACATGTGTATAAGGGTAGCTAGTGTGAATGGGCTGTGTTGTCGTCAATGAGCATGTGCGCTTTTAATGTATAGTGCTTACAACCAGGTTGCTGAAACTAATAAGAAATTGCTAAGTCTTTGAACTTCTACTCTGCCAACCAATCACTAATTCCCCTGTCAAAAACCCTCCTCAGGTCCTTAATGTTGGTCTGCACTTTAACCTTTAAAGATTGAATTTTGCAGAGTTCTATCTGGGTACTGCTTGATGATTTTTACTTCGAGTAAGCATTAATGACTAACTTATTTTTTCAGTTCAACCACCTTTCTTTTTCTGTGCTTCGTAACACACCCTGACTGTATTTCCTGCACTGATGTTGTCTTAGTCTGCAATGTTAAACATTTTTGAGTATTTACAGTTCTGTTTATCTCCCAACGTACTTGCATACGTGATTAACTCATTGGCCAGTAGGGAAACTTTAAACGAGGGCACAATGAATTACTGACGCATTTGCTCAATTTCCCCATCTCCCGTTATCATCTCTTAGTACCGCCAAAAAGTCCTGGGATGTTAGGTGGCGAAATGACTTTGCGACTTGATGGGATTGACTTTTTGAGATTGTTCTGAGCCCAGATGTTTACATTGTACATAGCACAGATTCCTATATATCATAACGGTGTGAAGAATGATGGCACGAGTCTGGCGTGAAATGCATTTAATCTTAATATGGGGTAAATTGCCTTGTTCTTTTTATGCTATCTTTTTGTGTATATAGACATCTATGTGAAATGGTCGCTCTTGTTCTGCAGTGGGACTCTTATAATAAACCCTGTGAACGGGTAGTGCATATTCTTCTCAAATTTTAAGTATTGATAGGAAACAGGACAGGAAACATTTGAATGTGGGAAGAGAGTTTCTCCATCTTTACAGTGAATAACTGAACCCCATCTGAAAAAAAAGAAAATTTCATTGCAATATACTGTTTTCCAAAGTGTCAGATTTTTAAAAAATTATTGTTAATGACATTGCTGTGCTCTGCCTGTTAAGGCATTTTACTTCAATAAAGTATATCTTGGAGAATTTGTAACCAATGTTCTGCTCTATCCTTTTTCTCTCTCTTATATGCTTACACAGCATACTTGTATTAATCGGTCAAATTGTCTTTCTATTAGATTAGTGTAAGCAAGGTTTGGTTAAATACAAGCTGATATTTCTTTTTGGTGATGTCTTGGGTTAGAATATTTGAGTTTAGAGTACTTCAATCTATTATTAAAAATCCACATCAATCCTAACTGGGATTTAATTTCCAAACTTTGGATCTATACTTTACATACACTAGCTTTCATTTTGGTTCTTATGTTTCAAGCTTTGACTTCAAGTGCACATTCCTGAGTAGAAGATGTTACTGAGCAATAAATGTCTGGTTTCCAATGGAGAATAAGTGGGTCAAACCTTGGATTTAAGTTAGCTGGCAATAAATTGTTTAACACTGCCTGCCTTGGTGAGTACTTTCAAATGATTAAAAAAATCTTACATTTTAGACTTCCCATGCCACTTTGGTGATATGAATTGTAGTATCACTAAAGTTTTGTTACCAATAATAGAAATACCCTATGCAAAAATGTATTTCTCACCCATGTAGATATTCTGCAAAAGAAAATCTCTCAAAATAAGTATTATTCAGCTTGTCTCAACACAGTGGCTACTATGATGTAGAACCCATTTTTCCTGAAATGACAAATCTTCATTTCATGTTAATGTACATCACTAAATATTTTGTCAGAAATGCTAATTCACTTCTTTAATATTTGGTGCACATTTAACTTTAAACCTGTCACTTTTAAATATATAAAAAGTGTCCCAAGGTGAAAATCCTAGGGTTTGAAATGTACTCACACATGATTGTCTTTTGCTTTCATGTCTTGAAGGAGAGTAGAAATATAATGGAATTGAGGCCATATACTACACATTTAAACAATTTTCAATGTCTGTGTGTAAAGGAATAATGCTTCATTTCCTATTGCATTTCAAAGAGGTATTCTGTTTAATAATTGACGTCTGCTAATTCAAATAAAACATTTCTACAATGAAACTTCGTAAATATGTATTTTTTTTCAACAACTAAAGATGGTGAAAAAATAAACTTGTACATAAATCCTAAGAGCACATAGATCTTTAATATTTGGTGCACATTTAACTTTAAACCTGTCACTTTTAAATATATAAAAAGTGTCCCAAGGTGAAAATCCTAGGGTTTGAAATGTACTCACACATGATTGTCTTTTGCTTTCATGTCTTGAAGGAGAGTAGAAATATAATGGAATTGAGGCCATATACTACACATTTAAACAATTTTCAATGTCTGTGTGTAAAGGAATAATGCTTCATTTCCTATTGCATTTCAAAGAGGTATTCTGTTTAATAATTGACGTCTGCTAATTCAAATAAAACATTTCTACAATGAAACTTCGTAAATATGTATTTTTTTCAACAACTAAAGATGGTGAAAAAATAAACTTGTACATAAATCCTAAGAGCACATAGACAGCCAGCCAGCCTCTCTCCTAATGGATAACAAAGCAGGATACTTCTGCCCAATGTAGGTGGCAGAGGTTGAGGAAATAAAGGGAAATAAAATATTTGTCCATAAAATACAATTCCTCTTGTAAATGTATAATCTAATAGAACAAGACACACCAATAATATTTGCCATTCTCTCAGACAAGTCCAGCAACATTTATACAGTAAGGTTCTTTGAGGAGCTGGTGAAAAGGTGCAATCCATCAAACAAACTCTAAAAGCAAAGTCTGTCCATGCTTCGAATGTACAATTTCTGCACCGATGAGCAAACAAAAATATTTGGCAATGTACACTGGATAAAGTTGACTGGCGTCTAGAGTATAATGCGAGCTACAAAAGATCAGAAATGCAAAAGTAGTTCACTCTTCCGTCCTGCAATAAAACCACACGAGTTGTTTCTCAAGATCACATGCTTCACTCTGGTTTCTACCACACATTTATTCGGTATGAGCAGTCAGATGAAACTTCCCTTTATTTCTCCCAATGGCCAAGCTGACATAAGTGAGGATGACAGTAATGGGGTGTTTGCATAGGTCTAACCGGTTGAACCAACCCCCACATCGACCGGATCTCAGCGCTGCCCGGTGTAGGAGCGGAACCAGGACGTGACAGAGGCAGCCGCAGAGGAGATCATGCCCCCTGCATTGCCAACTGGCTGGGACGCCTGCATGCCGCTCTGGGACAGATCCATAGGCTGGGAAGGGATGTCACAGAAGCGAGGGCTTGGAACCGTCTCCCAGTCTGTACCCAAGTCTGTTTCTTCATCCGTCACAGCCTCGTCTCCGCTCTCCTCCGCCGGTCCAGCTGCCTCTGGTTCCACAAACTCCATAGAGTCTTCCAAGTCAGCGCTCACCTCAAACGGCCCGGTTCTAGTGAACAAGAGTGGAAATGTTTGCAACACATTAATTTTCCACTATATATGAGAAATATAAAGTTTGGGGTCGACAAGTTTTTTTGATGTTTTTTGTCTCATATGTTCACCAAGGCTGCATTTATTTGTAAAAGCAATAATATTGAGAATTATTACTACAATTTAAAACAACATTTATATTGAAGTATATTTTAAAATATATTTCTGTGATGCAAAGCTGAATTTTCAGCATCATTACTCCAGCCTTCAGTGTCACATGATAAATAATGAAATAATTCTAATATGCTGATTTGCTGCTCAATAAACATTTCTGATTATTGATGTAAAAACCATGTTACATGTTTTTCAGGATTCTTTGATGAATATAAAGTTCAAAAGAACAGAATTTATTTGAATTATATTATAAAAGTCTTTACTGTCACTTTTGATCAATTTAATGTGTCCTTTCTGATCAACAACAACAAAAAAATCATACTGACACCAACATTTTTGAACAGTAGTGGAAAAAAAACTCACCAGCAAATAATTAAGATAACACTTGATTTTATCTACTGGAATTTATTTGGATCATAAATAATGGGCTATAAGACACATCGTGGACAATATATTTTCACTAAGGAACAGGACAATGTCATTTCTCACCTGCCAAGTTTCTTGTTTGCTGGAGACACCAGAAACATTATATTCCTCAAAGTGTGGTGAGGATGAAGCAGCTCACTGTCGACATGCTAAGAATCAAGCATAAACATGAGGCGTGAGATCAGAATATGACTTCTCAGATCAGAGTGGTCTCAGTTTAACAACAACAAAAAAATCATACTGACACCAACATTTTTGAACAGTAGTGGAAAAAAAACTCACCAGCAAATAATTAAGATAACACTTGATTTTATCTACTGGAATTTATTTGGATCATAAATAATGGGCTATAAGACACATCGTGGACAATATATTTTCACTAAGGAACAGGACAATGTCATTTCTCACCTGCCAAGTTTCTTGTTTGCTGGAGACACCAGAAACATTATATTCCTCAAAGTGTGGTGAGGATGAAGCAGCTCGCTGTCGACATGCTAAGAATCAAGCATAAACATGAGGCGTGAGATCAGAATATGACTTCTCAGAACAGAGTGGTCTCAGTTTTGAGAAGAATTTACCTGTGAGAAGCAGAGGTGCAGGATGTTGGTGTTAAGTTTGTTTACGGCACGGGTGAATCGGTAGCGGGTCAGATTATCACCGCAGAACTCACTGTAGAAAAGAAAACAATACAGGACATTTATTTTTATATTATAATAAAATACCAACAAAAAAAAAAAAAGAGTAAAAAAACTTGTTTCAGTTAGTTGTCAGGGCAACATTTATGATTTTCATTTATAGTAACTTCATGAAGTAATAAATAAATGAATAAATATATAAATAAAAAACAAACATTTTAAAAACAAACAAAAAAAAAAGTGTCAAAAACAACAAAATTACTGAAACGTTAAATAAAATTTTAATAAAAATAGAAAGAAAAAAAAACGTTCAAAATACAAATAAAAACTATAATAGACAATTAACATGCAGTTGTAACCTGTTGCACAATTTTTTCGGAAGGTTGACATCAAGAATATGAGACAGGATATTGATGAGCTGTGTAGCATAGCAGAGGGCGGCACTGATGGTGTGTGCCGGGTTGATGTGGTCCAACTCTACACAAGAAAAACAATTCTGTCAAATTAATTTGTTAAATATTTTCTTTCCTTTAAAGAGGAACAGAAAGCATTAAAGGGGTGGTTGATTGCGATTTCACTTTTTTAACGTTAGTTTGTGTGTAATGTTGCTGTTTGAACATAAACAATATCTGCAAAGTTACGAAGCTGAAAGTTCAATGCAAACGGAGATATTGTCTTTTAAAATTCTGGCAGTTTAATGCCTACAAAAACGGCTGGTAGGGACTACAACGAGTTACTTCCCGGGTTCGTGACATCACATTCATAACAATTATTCAGTATGATTATGGTGGGCATACCAGGTGGAAAAAACAAAACAAAACACACTACCATTAAATTTTGGGGTCAGTAAGAGGTGTTTTTTTTAATGTTTCTGGAAAGAGTCTCTTATGCAAAACAAGCAGCAAAAAAGTAATATTATTGCAATTTAAAATGACTGTTTTCTGATTGAATATATATAAAAAATAATAAAACAGAATATTTTAAAATTAATATATTTGAATATATTATAAACGTATTTTAAGTCAGTGTTGATGTACAAAACCTTCAAATTATTTGACTTTTTTTTTTTTTTTTAATTCTCCTTACTGTCAATTTAATGTGAATAACGAATAAAGCTATTCATTTCTTTCACACACACACACACACAAAAAACTTACTGATCCACCAGATTTTTCTGGTGTTTCATTGGTGATTTAAACAATAAAACTGTACAGAAAATATGTACAAGACACATTTTAGGCTCTAAATATCCCCACATTAAGGCTGTTCTACTAAGCAAGCAGAGAAATGATGGTGTCTTACAAGTTAACATGTTTTCACACTAAATCTAAGTTAGTTGATTATTCTAGAATGCATTGCAACAAGCTCTGTTAAAAATATTCATCCAAGGCCATGTGTAGTGTATGTTTATGTGTATTTTTAATATTCATTAGAATATGTTTATGCTCATCTAAATCTGCTCTGACCTGCTGCCCTGCTTCTCCTCCTGGATGTTGAAGATATGAGTGGTGAGCTCCAGGATGTGCTCTCTCCGCACTTCTGCCACGACCTCCAGCCTCCCCTGCAGCTCTTTGGATCTCTTCTCCAGGAGCTCGCCTAGACGTTGGTTATGGCGCTTAATTTTGTCCCTCTTTTCCTGATGCCGGCTGGCCCTGCGCTGCAGTCGCTGCCCTTCCTCCTGGGAACGCAATAACAGCTCCTTGCCTAAGGTGAAGAAAAAGAAACAGCCAAGACATCAACCAAAAAATTGCTATTTTTTATTGTTTAACTTTTTCTATTGAAAGAACAGTCAAGAAAAACTCACATAGTAGCTCAATGTGATTTATGCATGTTTTCACACTTTTCTCTTGGGATCTTTTTTGTTGTGATACTCACCACTCTTCACTTCGTCATTGCCGGTGCAGATGGCCTCTTTGAGTTGCTGGATTTTCATCTTGCATGACATGATTTTCCACCTCTGTGTTAAACAAAAATACAAAACCATGATTGTGAGAACTTTCTAAAAAACAGGCTTATATAATTTCTCCTCTTTTAACTTTAAAATCAAGCACTTAAAACAAAACACGCACAAAAATACTTACAAGCTGGTCTGCCTGGACCTTCTTGTCCATGGCTTTGATGACTCTGAAACAAAAAGGAGATTTCAGACTGGGTATTATCTGTACATAATGTTGATTTATGCATAGCACAATGCTGATACAATACCTCTGTTGAAGATTCTCCTTTTCATTTTTGAGCTTTTGTAGTCTTTCAAGCTTTTCTGAATACCTGATGGCAGAAAACAATATAGTTAGTAATTATATATATATTTATAATAACATAATAATTATGATATTGTTACATTTAGCAATATGACTCAGCTAAAGCTAACCAGGTCAACGCATTGGCATATCAAAAACTGCCACAAAGTTTCTTTACAAAACTAAAATAAGCCATGACAACACTTTTAATAATGTATTTAAAACCTATTTAAATAACCAAGTCACTGACTTGTGACAAGAAAAGAACGAGAACGCAGAAACGTAACCGTGTTATCTGACAGTTTGTTTACAGAGTAAGCATTCGATTCAAGGGCCATGAATTAGCTAAATTATATCTAGCGAGTTCACAAAACGCATATATACGCCGAAAACACTTCAAATCAAGAAGGAACGTATGCTTAAATCAAATAAATAGATGTGAAACAGCTCGACAAACCTGAACTGTTAGCGTGCTAGCGTGAGCTGTGTTAGCATACAGTGTAAATAATAATAATAAAAAAAGAATTAAAACACACCTCTCTGGATTTCTCCCGTCAAAATACACGAAATCGCCGTTCTGAATGCAGCGGGCGCAGGTCAGTCTGCGTCTGGCCGTGTTGCAGAGCGGACATCTCTCCACGGCTACAAAGAGCCCCTCTGCATCATCCAGAGCCTCCACCATGACCGCGGCAGCAGCGTTCACGCACGCCGGCTGAAGGTGCTGCTGAGGCGGCTGGGGTCGAACGGGCGCCCGGGTCTCTGATGCAGACTCTGGATGATCTTCACCAGGCCCCAAAGCCCGGGGTTCGCCTGATAAGGGACAAGCCATGATGACACAGGCTCTATTAAGAATAGAAGTCCCTTAGAAACGGTCACTGTGAGAGTTACATGATCTGTGGTAGGAAATATGAAAATATAACCAGTAGTTCTGGTCCTAAGGCTGAGCGCAATGGCTGTCTGCTCTACGCACCATGTGACGCATGTTGTTTGTGTATGTTTTGTCACGTGTGTGGTGGTGGGGTCTCTCACAAAAAATTACCGTGGTAACCATACTTCTAAATGCCATAAAATATCATCAATCTATTCCATGAATCTAAATACCATAGTAATACAAGATATTTTGCTTTTGTAAAATCAAAATAGTATAGGTCACCTTCGTTTGGTGTACGTTTTCATATATATACATATATATATATATATATATATATACAGTGGGTACGGAAAGTATTCAGACCCCCTTAAATT